GAAACAAGAGAGCTAAATATTTATGCTCCTTGGAAAGAATCCTAGTTTTCAACTCACAGGGAAGCTCTAGGCACTACAGTTAAAATTAACGTCCCCTATAAGTAGCAAAAAATTCATAAATGGAGAGATACAGGATAGGTAAACGATCAGCCACTCAGCCCGACACCTTTCTTAAACTTCAGCTACCCCTCCCCTCCCATTCTCTAAACCAAAAATGGAGTTTATCAACATTTTGCAAGTTAACTGCAATAAACCTTAGGTCTATAAGTATCAGCATGAGGTGAATTTAGAAGTTGATTTCAAACACAAAAGTGCAAGTAAAAGCAGTAAAACATAAGCAGCACTCACTTTAGCTCGCATAGCAATAGCACGTCCCCGACCAACACCAAGTGATGTACCTTTGCCCTTCAAATATGAAAATAAACATAAGCAAAGGTCTTGAGAGAACAGCAATAATTAAGGACAAGGAAGGAAAAAACCTTGATTCTTGCTTCTAGCCGCTTGAACATGGGAGCATTCTTAAGCATATCAGGAATTATCATGAATCTGGTGGAAATTAAAGTTCAGTAATGATCTTACCAACAATAGCACAGTATACACAAAAGAGTTAACCATGTACCTGACTTTGCTGCCTCTAATAAAAACGTGCTCTAGTTGTGACACCCTTCCATCCTGCAGTGATCAATATTACCAATGTAAAAAGAGCCTTAGATTCTAACTAATCCAATTTCTCACTTATTTCATCAGTAGAGTCACCAAAATATGCTTAGATGTTTCATTGTTAGTATTACATAAAATTTCAGTTGGTGTAAAATTTAAGATAGTTTCGTGTGCTTTATTTCATTTCCATATATAAATTTGTCTCTTGATGCATATTCTTTTCAGGAACAATGTGTTTCTTTTTTCTTTTACTAAAGAAAAGACGTTTTTAAAAAAAACAAGGATAGGTGCAGCAGTAGATCCTACTCGATTTTTTCCTTCTTTACATAATGTATTGGCGATACTGCATATACCTCCCCAAGCAAAAGAAAAAATGGTGAGACACCAAAAGCAGGCATATAGTCTAAGAAAATATGTGAGTTCATTAAAAATATAAGACTGGCAAAATGCTATAAACTCTAAATCTCTACTGGTCCTTCTACTATTGGCATTTTGATATAGCATAAGAAAGCCCAAAACTTGGAAGATAACAGCTTGCTCAATTGGAAACATTTCCTTCCTCCATTCTTTAGACAGTTGAGGTCCTTTTCCAAATCTCTAGTTTTTCAACTTCTCATTACTTACTTTTTGGGGGGGGAATGTAGTCCAACACTAGAAATGGAAAGTCATTTCTCTATGATCTGGAACTAGCACCAGCATTAACATGAAGCAGATTTCTGAAGACAATGAAAAGATCGAAATAACCCATGAAAGCGATTGAGAACCACCTACTTAATAAAAAAAAAAGGTGATTGAAAAAAACCTAGTTTGCAAAAAAAATCAGACACTAGTCTACCAAACTTAGTTTTTCTAGAGCTATGATGATTTTTTGGAAGGCCCAGTAAAGATGTTGGGACTTGAGACTCACTGTCAGTCAAGAGAAAAAACCAAAAAGATAATTCATTTTCAATTGGAAGAAATTCCATGAAGTACTTCATTTTCCATTGAAAGGAAAGACAGAGAGAAAGGTTTATAAAACTGGTTGGTCATTCTACCTGTGAGTGGGGCCTCAAAATGGGTTTCATGGCAGGGAAAATCAGATTCTTCCATTATCAATTTTTGAGATACCTAATTGTGCCAATTTCTCTAGTTGAAGATATGACTTTTATGTATGTCAGTAACTCGGATCTATTGAACGATGTCCTCAGGCCCTTCTCCTAACGATGGGAAACAGAGAGAGGTACAGAAACAAGCTAGATAGGATATATGTTATTCCCACTATCTCGTTAATGAACAGTAAAGCCTTTGTTCTCATAATTAGGAGAAGCAAGGACAACACCCATTGGCTTTTTTGCACATGGGCTTTGTCTTGAGGAATCACAAATATACCCCACCCACCCCCCACCCCTGCAAGAATTGTCAACAAAGTTCCCCCATTTTGTTCATGGAATGAGGCTTTCTGCAGTCCCCTTTCCTGCCGAAGAAAAGGAAAAGGAGGAAACTCTTGGTAACTGAAACTTTAAAAACTTCCCTTTCTTTATGCTATCTACATTCTACAGACTGCACTTAACAATATGGCTAACTGCAAGCTGTTGGCATTCAAAATTATATTCAAGTGCGACTTCTGCAAAACCGGTAACTTTTTTCCTATCCTGGTAGCTTTAAAATGCCAGTAACAGTATTTCTTACTACAAAGGGTAAGAGAAAGGCTTTAGACAAAATAAATCACACTAGAAAGAACATAGGGGCCAAGTTCATAACAGCACAACCACATAAAAAATACCCAATATACCAACGATAAGGGTAATAACTAATACATTTCTGACTTTCTCTAAATCGTTTATGACATGAAATATCCATGGGAAAACTTATCTTTAAAACTTAATCTCATCTACCGAACCGATATTTCTACCTCTGTTTTAAAAGGCAGGCGTACCAAAAACGCCCTGGGGCGATGGAGTGGAGCAAAAGTCTCAAGGGGCATACGCCCGGGCATTCGGGGCGCGTTTTTTTAGTAAAGAATAAGCCCTAGCGACTTTTTCAAATTAAAACAAAATTTGCTGAATTAGTCCTTCATAGGAGTACGCAGCCGAACAACCGCTGGGGTTTCCAGCAGCCAAATTCTCAAAAGTCAGTTTGGTAATTACTCAAAAGGTTTAAAAAGGAATTCAAAAGTATTAAATTTAAAAGTAAAGACCTTTTTTATTGATTTAAGCTCTAATTCATGGTTTTCCCAATTTTTTATCTTGTCCGCTAGTCTACTAATATCTTCCAAAAGCAACGAATATTTAATTTTTTTTACAAATACAAAGAGAACTACATTTTTCTTCATAGCAGCAAATTCAAAGTTCAAATTGCAGGTTAATCATCCTTTTTGTTCCTCTATATAGAAAACTTTATTCTTTTAGACTCAAATTACTTGTGCTTGTAAGTAACGTATAATAGATTGTTTTGATTAATTTTTTGTGGGGATGGAGCATATATATATATATATAAAGTTTTCTTCAATTTTTATGCAATTTTACCTGTTTATAAATATTAACTGTCATTATATTATTTATAAAATATTAAAAATTAAATACCTATGGGGCTTACGCCCCGCTGAAGCATATGTAAAACGCCCCGGCTTACGCCCACGCCTTTTAAAACACTGATTTCTACTACCTAACAACTAATAATTTCTGATTAAAACTTCTTTTGAATGTCAATTTTTATAGAGATTCCTGTCTTGTTTGATCAATTTGCATAAACTTGTCTCAATTTGCATCAGACTACTTTTTCTAGATCAAAATAAGTCTTATGTATGTTGTTCTTGACATTGATACTTGATATGAAACTGAGATTTAGAAAGCATGTCCATAGATGCTCATATGAGTTATATGCTCGAGTCTCTTAGAAATCATGACTACAAGTCTCAATATATTTCCTTTGAATATGCTTTAGGTTACTTTCTGGCTAGTTTGATCAATCTAAAGGAGTATAAGATCTTGTGCTACTTGCTTCCTCTGTGCTATTGGGCTATGTTGCGACTCTTCGATTTTGGTGCCGCACCCGTCTCGACACGGAACGGGAGCGGGTGCGGGATACGTCCCGGATTCGGTCAACAAACTTAGGACACTTTGACCTGAGTCTATCGAAAAATTTGGGGGAAATTGAGATTTTGATTTCTCAAAATTAAAAATAAAATAGATTTAAGACATGAGAAATGGCATACCTTCAATATTGTAGTATTTTTGTCTCATGTTTTCTACTTTGTGTTCTAGAAAAACCAAGAATTCAAGGGTCGTGTTCTGAGTTCGGACTTCTAGTACACAATAGCAGCAATATAGTTGGAGAATTAGTGGAAGGCCTTGAATGGCTTTCTTTTTCTCTTTATAGCTCTATTTTTTATAATTTTGAATTTTTTTTAGCCGAATCCCCGCACCCGTATACATACCTGAATCCGCACCCCCGAGTCTTAAAATTTAGATTTTGCCGAATCTGACACTCGGATCCGTGCCCTTATCGGATGCCCGCACCCGAATCCGAGCAACTTAGCTATTGGGTAATTTTTATAACAAATAAGGAGGCTAATCAGTCTTTACATCCCTATAACTGATGCATTTTCTCCTAATTAGAAACGATATCTCTAAGCCTAACATGTATGCTTTTCAAGGCTGAGATGTGATAAAAGTAACTCAAAAGCATTGGTTTTAAGAGCGAAAAGCGTAAAAAAGCGGCAAGGTCCATGGTGCTTGAAGCAAAACGAAATAAGTGAAACGCACAATTTACGAAAGATAAGAAAATACCGTGTAACCAAATTTCAACTAAAAAAACTAATTTCAATAATGTTGATGTTACGCACCCAAGGGCGTAGCCTAGTGGTCAATAAAGTGGGTGGAGAACCATGAGGTCTCAGGTTCAAACCTCAGCGAAGACAAAAAACACTAGGTTATTTCTTCCCATCTGTCCAAGATTTGATGGATAGAGTTACCTGGTACCTATTGCTGGTGGGAGGTAGCAGGTATCTCGTGGAATTAGTCGAGATGCACGCAAGCTGGCTCAGACACCACGGTTATCAAAAAAAATGTTGATGTTAAACCAAATCCTCAAAGTTGAGATTCAAGGCATTGACCACTTCTCGTTGATATCACTTTGCGCACCATTGTGTGGAACGCACACCTGAAGCGTATAGCAACGTCCATGAAGCGATAACCCCTTGTTTTGCATCGCTTCATTGCTTTAAGCGGTGAAGCAATGACTTCTAATAATGCAGCCCAAAAGGTACAATTCTCAAGCTAAACATAAGTGTTCTTCTGTGATAAAAGTAGGCTTGCTTACTAGACAGGATAAAAATGGGCTTGTTATTTACTGCTTAAAGGAAAAGATTGGATATGATCATAAAGGCCATAAATTCGAAATTAAAAGTCAAAATATGATATATCTCAGAGCAATTAACAAGATATTCGTACTAAACCCCTGAAATTAGAGAAATTTAATCGCAGACTAGAAATGCCTAACCAAAATAGTAAGACCCCAAGAACAACCTCAAAGAAATCAAGCTACTCATATGATCGAGAACTTCCTACTTCGGGCAATGTGAATAAGTATAACTTCTACTATCTTAACAGGGCAAGCGACACTCAACTGGTAAAGTAGGAAACAAGTGGTAAGTGGCTAAAACATACATAGAAATAAGAACATGTCATTCTGTGTACCACTTTTCCACTGTGAAAGTTAAACAAATCACCGCTACTGTCACCCTAATTATCGCACAGATAATTAGCTTGTTTGGAAATTACTGCACTGTGCAATAGAATATCGGGAAGACAAGTAAAAACGAGAGTAAGATCCAATATCACAAGCAGTCAAGAGAAAATATCTAGGGTTTAGGGTTTAAGAAACAGCAAAGAAAGCACAGATAATAACGCTTTGACAAAATCAGGAAAATCACAACAACAAAAAAAGTTGTAAGCATACTTTAGCAGTGTAAGTGATGCTCTCGAGTTGGCAATTCCAGTTGTCCTCGCACTCCACCATACTTCCTCTGTACACCTCTCCACTCTTCATCTCTACCGTCACTATATGCCCCGTCGCTTCGTGTAGAAGCTTTACCGGTATGCCCAAGCTTCGACTCATGGCTGATTTCTCCCTCTTTCCTTACCTCTGCCAAAACCTAATGTTGCTGCTGGCTAGCGGATGTGCAGCTTCTCCCAATGTGACACTGTGCTAAACAAAATTAAAACAATATGAGTCCCGCTATTCGAGAACTTAGGGCAAATTATCGCCGGTGCTCGACCAATGGATCAAATTTGATCCGACGGTTCTTGTTTACCCGTGTTACATGTAGGCTCTTTTTCTTTTTTAATTCTTTTTTTTTTCCTTTTTTCTTGGGGAGCTCTCATCTGGAAATTTGATGATATTTTACAATTGAGTCTCTCAAACTTCCCAATTATGTATATTGATGTCTACACTTCAATATGTCTTTTTTTCTTTTTCCATTATATTGTTATAAAAAATTTGTGACTTGACATTAAATGAATTAAAAAAAATTGAAAATGTGAGCCTTAATATGGGAAATACATGTGATTCCAAATTTTTAACTTTTTAAAATGTAAGAGAGAACAATCAAGATATGAAACAGAAAATACTTCGTAATTTTTTTTAATGAAATACGATAGAAAGCTCTTTTTCAGAACTCTATGCTTTAAATTATTGGTTTTCATTTGTTAACAAAAAATTTGATTCACATTCATGCAAAAAAGTTTGAAAATTGAAAGGCTAAATAGAAACTTATTCTTGCCGCTTTCCCTCATGTTGTTGGAAGGCATTCCATTCTTCACGTAACTTTAGTGAACCTATAGATGGATATCCTACGGAGCCCGTAAACTCCCGATTTAGACATGAAAATAGGCCATTCCGGACCTTTTACTCATGGAACGAGAAGACCGATGCCCAATCTTTGGCACATTTAGATCAGAATCGGTGGAAACTCACTCGGTCTGCGCGTCTACCGGGATACCATATGAAATTTTTTATTTATGATATAAGGAGTGCACGAAACTTCATAAAGAGTCTGACACGCTCCTAGGGTATCATAATCCCCTTTTTTCATCGAAAAACAAGGTCAAGATCAAATATTCGTAAAAACATGATTTTATTGAATCGTAAAAAAACCAAATAGGTGCATTTAGTATAAACAAAACATAAAATATGATGGTAATAATTATGAAATATTTAAATGGACACCAGAAATTGCATTATTCACTTATATATGCTTTTATCCACAGGGAATACGAATTAATTTTACTATAACATAAGCGAAAATGTTGACAATACAAAAATTGAAATATAACTCACATTTATCCAGAAAATAACTCAAGAGAATACCTCACAATTTCTATCAAGTTTCTAAATTTATGTTCAACACTCTCTAAACTCATTATGCTTGTCGAGAACTATCTTTATTTTTCACTAACATGTACCATCTATCTTATTTCCATTCAATGACAAAAAGACTAATAGTAAATAGCTATCTATAGGGATTATTATTCACCAACACCAAGTTGACACCTTGATCAATTTGGTATGGTGAATTTGGATTACACCAACTTATAAGCCTACTGATCTAAGTTTTTGCAAACCACAAAAATGTAATTATGTTGTAAATCAACTTACTAGAGCAAGTTGTTGCCAATTCATTCTAAGCAAATAATTTGCAAACCAATGTTCTCAAAGTCATAATCAAGTTCCAACCAACCTTCTCTAACATCAAGTCGTAACCTAACTTACTCCCAATTATAATCAAGGTTCACTATAACTACTCTAACTTGCAAAAGAGTTCACCACCACATTATATGCTAAATTTAAATAGAAAAAATTTAAGATATTTTTCCAACTAATATTTTTACTCAAAGAAGAAAATTTTGGCGCCAAGTTGTCAAAATGATACTCCAAGAAAACTTTGAAAATGTACATAATAACTTTACTGTCCTAAATGCCGTAAGTAGGAAACATTTTATAAAAATAATTTAAAGAGCGATAATTTGTCTCCTAAAAAAAAGAGAGAATTGGGAATTAGGAAATTACCGAAAAGCAAACGAGACAGGCGAGCTGGCAATTCCAGGGATGAGCGAGTGAAAACTACACCGCCTCGGAAAGATTTAACCGGAAAGTGGGCGTAACCGTCCCGGCTTTCCCCTGTCTGTGTTCAAATGAAAGTCGATAAGAGCAATTCCTCCTTTTTATCCCCACTTCTTTGTATAACAATCATTCTATTGGCATTGAATCCAGTTGTGAGCATCAGATTCCCAGATCGGATCCCTGAGGTTCCAAAGGATCCTTCTAATCAGCCATTGCAAACAGCAGTTTTCGCTCTTGGAAGCTTCTGGAGGTCGGAAGCTGCATTTGGCTGCCTCAACGGCGTCGTTAGAACCTCCGTCGGTTATGCTGGTGGTTCTAAACCCAATCCCGAGTACAGAAGTTTGGGCGATAACGCTGAATGTGTTCAGGTATTTGTTCATATTTATGCCTTAATCACTTGTATAAGAAATTACTCCAATCTAATGTAATCACCACAATTTTTATAGCTTCTTCTGCGATCTGATGGATTTTTTTTTTGATATGTTGATTACATTGTAAAAAGTAAAATTAGATAGTTAAAATTAGGATCTGTGTATACCAAACGAGTTCCTTGTATCTTCATAATGTACATGAATAGTTAATTTCCTGCAGAAGAAAGTACTACGGGAGCATTCAGGTTTATAAAAAATAGGATATAGGAAAGTGGAGCTGTAAGTGATTATGTATATGATTATTAATGCCTAGTTAACAGTGAAGAAACAATTAGGTTGTAGGGAATACACACTTTTTGTGGTTATACAACAAATTATGCCAAAGAAAGGAGCAACTTGATCAAAATCAAATTGCAAAGGCGTACATGAAGGACTAAAATGGGGACAGCTTGGGTTACACTTTTTATAAAACATTAGGAGTGACATTAGCTGAGGTGGGGGAAAGTCCTTGTGGGATTTACTTAAATCAGTGAAGATTACCTCCGATCATGGTTTATGCAATGCAAATAATGTGTTAGATGAGTCAGCTAATACCTTTCTTACTCATCTTTATTGTCTGGCTGAGTTAACACCAGCTTTATGCAACTAATTTCCGAATACATTTGGTCCTGTTCGAACTATTTTCTCATGGATATCACGTCGCTATCCCTTCTTTTATGTATAGGTGTTTCACGGACTTGCATTAATTGTTTAGTAAAAATAAGGTATTGGTCACCATAGAGCTAGTAACCAAATGTTTCACTTGCAGCAGTGGTTAGTGGTATTTCTAGAAGCAATATATTATTTCATCTTTCAGACTGCGATGGGTGTAACTTTTAGAATATTTTTCTTCTCTGTCATCCATAGGCGGTGGTGGAAATAAGGAACTATTTGGCTCTGTTCCTTTTCCCATATGCTAATGGAGCATAGTCTTTCGCGTCTATTCTTCTTCTTGTGTACTTCAGTGGTCTCTACTTAATTGTCATATTTTACAATAACGAATTCGCACGCTATTGTAATTTGTAGTTGCAACTTGCAACCCTTTTGTGTCCCCGTTTGGTATCAGTATGCGAGGGTTATGTTGGAGCTAGTGTTTTCTAGTATTTTATATCTCGAAGCTAATTTGCTCAGCATGGGGTGGTGAAAAATAGGAGGGACCTATATATGGAAACATGCTAGCATATCTTACAGACATCTAGCATACCAAACTGACCGAATACGAAGGTATAGAGTAAATTTTTTGTCAAAGTTCTTTATTTGAAATTCCCCTGTTTCCGTCCATGTTATTGTTATAGAAGATATGAATGATCCTTTTGTGCATTTCAGATTTGATATATAAATGTTTTATGTTTTGCTGTTATCTGTAATTTTTGGAACCCACTTCTTTGGATTTTGTAGATAATAGTTGATATTTTATGCCTTTCATTGTGTTGACATGGTATTCTTGCCTGTTTTAGGTTCTGAATGAGTTTTATGTCCTTTATCAAGCCTATCTGAAAATGTTCTGTGGTTTGTTCCGGATTTGTTTCAAATAAACGGCTGATAGGTTGAGTTGCATTTGAATTTTGCTTACCTGGAAATTTACATTTAAAATAACCAAATATTTCATTTATCTCAATGATTTCAACTTGTTTAATAGTTTGTATCCTGTAGGTCGAATATGATCCCGAAGTAATTGGTTTTAGACAACTATTGGAGGTCTTCTGGTCTAATCACGATTCTAGGCAAGTCTTTGGGCAAGGTCCTGATGTGGGTAACCAGTACAGGTAGGATCCTTGACTTCAACCTGGGTTCCCTTTACTTCAGACTGATTACAAGCATATGAATAGCAAAGTTATGAATTTGCCTAGTGTAGGTCTATTATTTTCACAAGCGGCACTGAGGAGTCCAGATTGGCTGCTGTTAGCAAGGAAAGAGAACAATCAAAGTCAAAGAGCAGCATTGTAACCACTCAAATTCAACAGCTCGAAGCTTTTCATCCTGCTGAGCCTGAACATCAGGTCTAGTATCCATAACTACATTATGCTGAATAGCTGATACTAGATTATTGAAGCATAAGTGCATAGCTTGATGATTGTCATAAGGGGTGCAGTACTGACATTTCCTGTCGTATTGATTCTTACATAGTCAAAATTTACAGAGTTGATATTAGTTGAGGGCACGATAAAGAAAATGAAAACCATATGTGGTTTATATCAAAGAAACCACGATGATGGGGGTGTGTTGAGATGTAAAACAATTAAGTAATAAAAGTGCATTTTCTCTAACAGCTAAAACTTTAACATAAGATAGTCACACAATTCAACATGTTATTAGAGCAGCCAAGAGGTCTTCGGTTCAAATCTCACCCGCCCGAAAATTTAAAGAAAGAACAACATTTCGACGTATTTGACTCGTGAAAAAGAATCAAACTCACACGTGAGGGAGAGTGTTGAGACGTAATATAATAAGTAGTAATTAACTATACCTTACCTCTGTTGTTTTAATTTATTACTTCACAAAAAAAGTAATTAAAAGTGTGCTCTCTAACAACTTAAGCTTTAAGACAAGATGATCACGCACATCAACAGCGTGACAGAAGTCCAGTGTTATCAAAGACGAAAAGCGCAAAAAAACTCTATGGCCCGTTGGGGCTTTAAGCGCAAAGCGCAAATAAAGCGTGGGCTTTAATGAAAGAAGGCGCAATTGGAGAAAAAGTAAAAATATGTATATGCAGTCCAAAACCAATAATTATAAGCATGAATAACAAATATACGGACAAAAAAATTGAAAAACAATTACGATAAAGTGAAATATCAATTGTTCAGTGTCGCATTTTCATGATTACACTCATTGACTAGGAAAAGCATGCCTTAGAGTCTTGATGCGACACTGAAGTGCCCGCAAAGCGAGGCGAAGCGCTCTACATGTTTCCAGCTTAAGCGCGCCTTTAACAAAACTGGGCAGAACCAGTTTCTCATAGTATATGAGGTAATAAGTGGGTTGGATGGGCTTCTGTTGGCTCCATAGGGCAGCGTGTGGACTTAGATCAAGTGATAGAAGATTAGTGATGATGATTGAGGAGATGCCGTCGAGCAATCTCTCTCTCGTCAGTTCAGATGCTAAGGAGAAGACTTCAATCGGTTATTTCTGGAGTACATAAGGATTGTAAAATGAATGCATAGTCTCCTTTCCTTTAGGAAGAATTACAAAAGGTAAGCAGGGAAGAAAAACGTCTGCACAGGATCCTAATGCTACTAGATTTGCAAAAGCATTGAAACTATATTGGATGACTTCATAGAATTCATGACAAGCAGAATGTTATTAGCCCTTATCGTCGGCAAGCTTTATATGGAGGAAATGCAGGTTGACATGATATTATATCTGGTATTGGAGGAAAATTCCCCTACTACTAAAGAGACTTACTATGTGCTGCTTTGGGTCATTGCCTTGTACTTCTTGTCAGCGGGATTGAGAAGGGATAAGCCCCTTTCAGATTTGAGAACATTTGATTATTACATATTGGCATAAAGATATGGTGAAAAGTTGTTGGAAGGATTTTTGGTCCAAGGACATCCAAGCTTCAGAAAATGTGTAAATAAGAAATACCAGGTCCCATCGATAGTTGACTAGACTTTAGGGGATTCATTTTTTATATTTAACACCATCTTAATCGTAGTAAAATTATTTGATTTATAACAAAAAATTGGGTCAAATAAAATTCAGAGGGACATACACCAGTTGGCCTCTTCCGCTGCTCTTAGGTTACTTTTCTCTGTTGGCCCTAACCTCCTACTGCCCAAGGAATTTGGACTCCAACTTGCTTTATAAGTGTGCATAGATTCTAAAAAATATTTATTTTCTGTGATTTCACTTTTAGGTAAAGCACTGCAGATGGGAAAACATATTTGTCTTTAATGAGGGGAATTTTGTTGTAAGAAACTGGGAAATGTGACGCTCGGAAAGAGTCCCTGTAAGACTAAAGAAGAACAAAAAATAAGTAGTTTCCCTGTTCTGTACCCCTTTGCTAAACATCCCCCCCTCCAAATCAGATTTTGGGAGATGCGCACGTGCTTCCATCTCTTTTTCCATGTTTGTGAAAACATTCGTCTTGTTAATCTGAATACCACTGCTATGATCTCTTGACGCACTTGATTGACAAATCCACTCACTGTCCATTTTTTCAGAAATTTGAGCTTAAGCGGAATCCATTCCTACTACAGTTGATGGGAAACTTGCCGGAGGAGGAGCTTGAGAGGTCAACACTTGCTGCAAAACTAAATGGCTATGCAGCAGAGCTCTGTCCATCAAGGATCCAAAAGCAAATTGATGCAAAGATCAATGATATTATTAAGAAAGGTTGGCCCATTCTCAGAGAAATATAGATATACATCTCAAAGATATATGAGATCCTGCAGACCTTTGTTATGTAAGAAAGAGGGAGTATTGTTTCCTTTGCCGAGGAAATGTCTTGTAGATCACAGATACCCTCTCATGCAGATTCTCCTACATTATGGAATACGGATAGCGAATAGCAAGCAGAGATCGTTTTGACGGAGATTAATCAAATTTGTTTGTATAATCAGAATGTTGAGGATATGTTGGTTGAACTAGACTGCACATTGTTGCCATGATGGGATTGTTGGACCTTAAAATCAGGTTGTTGTACGCATTTTTCTATTATTGAATCCTATATATGCTTCAGAACCATCTTATCAAGTTTTAGCAGTTGCAAATGCATAAACTAGTTTTTACAACGAGGCACCACATTGAGCTTATTCAAAAAAAAAAAAAATTGAAAAGTTTGACCAGCTTTCAGAGGGTTTAAGAATTAACAGAACAGACGTTGAATGTTCTTGTTATCGATATTAAACTGCGGACAAGTGAAAATAATCGTGCGGAAGTTAGAGTATATGGAAGTAGCACAAGAGACTACCTTAAGGGCGAGAGTTTAACAATGTTTCTACCCTACTGCAGGGAGTAAAAGCTTCTTTTTTTATACTCAAATGAGTGAGTCCAAGTAAAAGTGAAACTCACTCTGTCAAAATTAATCACTTTATTTTTATTTTTTTGAAATGGAGTGAATAGTTAAAATTTACTGTATAAAAGAGAAGTAGTAAAAGGTATTATTCAAAAAAAAGCAAAAGTCAAAAGCAAATACGTGTTCCTGCAGTAACCAGTTTATTCCACTGAGAAGTGTATCTTTGTAAAAAGAACCTCAAAAGCCGAGCAGCTACTTCCTCTATAAATGTTTTACTGATCTGAAGAGGATCACCGGCGGTGAAGCATAAGGAGAAGTCAGAAATGTCGTCGTCCTCCTTCTCCTTACTGAATTTAAACATTTGGAGTTACCTTGCGTTCCTAGCTATTAGTTTCACGCTTGGTTGACTATAATTTGGACAATTCTTGCAAACATTCAGAGTTATCTTACAGTATATCTACCTACAAAAAAATGAATGTGTAACCTATACAGATTATATATTTTTTAATTATTTTCATGATCACGTTATTTGAGAAACCGACCTTTAATTTGGTAAAACTTATTCATTGGCCTGGGATATTATTCACTTCATTATAACAATTAATGTTGCAGAGTAATTCTTTTGGCATCGGCGAAAATGAGATGCGATAATTTACGGCAGGACTTTTAGAAAGTTTAATGGATGTCCATGATCCTTTATCCATTTTCATTCATAATCCCGATAGAGCTATAATATAAATTAGAGCTTTTATTATTTGCAGAGTTATTTTTTTTTCTTTAACCAAATTCTTTTTAATGTTAAAGATTATGAATTACTAATTATAGTGACTTTTTATGTAGTTTTTAAATATTTAAATTTATTTTTAAAAATTGAAGAATTTAAGTATTTACACAAAAAATTAAGTAGTTTAACTCTCTTACACGAAATTTCACCCCATGAAACACTCGAAATATAAGATTCTAGGCAATTTGTAAACCATATTTTACTACTTGATCACAACATAGGAAGCTTTCGTGGACGGATATATTTTTTATTTTTCTTTTTTTATTTGGAAAAAATCAAATATCGTTTTCTTTCTACTCAATGAACAATGAAAAATTATATTTCTTCCGTTTCTTATTTTCCCGCATTTTCGTAATTTGTATAAAAGCTCTATCGAGGAATATCGTAATGGAAGTGGACAAAGGGTTCTGGAGACTTTATTAAAATTTATAAATGTGGTCCTGATATACCCCGTCTGATTTTTGCTAACGACTTCATTCTCCTTGCAAGAGTAAACCAAAAAACAAATATTGCAATTGTTATTGATTGCATTAAATGACTTCAATAATATGTCAGGACAAATAACAAATTTTACCAAATTATAAATCAGTTTCTCAAATAATACAGATGAAGCAAATAGAGAATTATGAAATCCTGATAAGTTACAGAACCGTTTCTTGATTTGGATATGCTTTAAGATAAATAAGGCTGAGTGCCTGCTAGAAATTAAGGTCTGAATTATAGTTAAACCAATCGTGAAAACTAGAAAGTCTGAATCATAGTTAAACCAGTCGTGATAACTAGAAAGTCTGAACCATAGTTAAACCAATCGTGAAAACTAAATAACCGCAAGGAACACAGGGAAACTCAAGGGACTATTATAATACCTTTGCTTAAATTCAGCACGGTCGCCTCTTAGAAGGTACCTTTAATTAGTATATAGTGTTAGAAAAATAATTTGATATCTCAAAAAGAAATATTTAAATTAATGTCTAGGATCATTCTTTAATATTTTTTCAATATGTTTTTATTATACCAATCAATTGGATATATTTTAATATCTATAACTGAAAATTTGAATAGCTTTGAATATAATAATTTTACTGACCTTGAATGGCTATCATTATGGCTATAAGAAAGTTGTTGTTTATAACGTTTTTGGCTTGATTGCCTTTAAAGTTAGTAACGTCTCTTACTGGAAAGATTTCTTAGCTTTGATAACGTTTTTGGCATTACTTTAATATGCAATGTTTCACTCTTGAAAATCAGATGTCCACTTTGGACTATATATAAGTATATGTTTGTGTTCATTTGGAGAGGTTACATATAGTGTGTATACGTGTGGATTACATTTAAAATCCCTGGATATTAGCTTAGTGGCTTGTGATCATTTCAAAAATTTAGTTCTTTCAGTTATATGAGATTGTAAATAGAACTAGCCTGTTAACACAAAACCTAAGACATTTTTTTTTTGAAAAGGAAAATTAGTGGGGCGGGACGGGTGTAATGCGGGGCGGACGAGGTGGGTGAATGCTGATGAAAATGCTATGTGAGGCGGGCAGGCGGCTTGAAATTTTGCGGGTAAGACAAACTTACACCACACTGCTTGCCATCCCTAAGCGCGACTAGCATTAACAGACTGGTCATATACAACCTAAAAGGCCTCAAAATGACACAACGTACAAGATTATCTTCAAGGAGGCAAATGCTACAATTCCAGTCTTCCAGAGGACGCCCCTATTGCATCCTTGAAAATTGAAATAGTTCTCTCAACCTTATTGTTATTATTTTTCTTGATAACGTTACTGTTGTCCGAATTGGCTACCACACACATTGATTATTCCATCAATTACTTGTTATTTTACACTAGCACATGTATCAGATAACTTTACATTGACAAGGCAAAAATAGGCATCGCAATAATAGGCAGTCCTAGTTCATTAACTGCTAGATTGTACCCTTCACCCTATGTGGGCTCATTGTCTGGCTGTTGTATTTGTATATGCCTCATCGCATGTAAAGATTTGTCTTCTTGATTTTTATGTCAATTGATCCATCTCCTTACATCGTCTAATTATTTGACAATTTGGAAATCCTCTCTGTTGCTGGGAAGGACGTATGCTAGTAAATATCAGCTCCCAACTATGGTGAAAAGCATAAACTAACACAAAGTTGAGAAAACTACTGGATGCTTGACAACAGGGGCTAAAGAAACATCACCCCCTCTTTTTGATAAATCAAAGCGCTTCTGATTTGGACATTCTTGGCTACAAGAAGTAAGATTAGTATACTTGCAGCGAGGTACCAGTGGAAGAACTCCACCCAGTCAAAAGTATTGCTATAGCGAAGCTCTCTGTCTTAAGAGTTCTGCCCATTCATTCAATAAGTTCGGCACATTTCCCCGCTGTTTATGTTCCCAATTATCAGTGTGTTTGAGTATATGAATTGAATGATAATATTTGTGGTGAATCTTATCGGTGGTTCACTTGTCTATCTGCAAGAACGATTATGTCAAGTTTCGACTTTCAAGTGAATTTGTATAAGTTGTTGATAAGAACGACGCCTCTCTCTCTCTCTCTCTTGACTCAGGTTTTACGAACGAAAAGAATTAGCATCTAGACGAGTTTCGAATTGTAAGTTCCCTCGGATCTCAACTCTGTACTATTTTAAGACGACAAACAGACAAGATTGCGTGGTGGTCCACACAGCATTTCTTTCTCTTAATTTATATTGGCAGCTTTTATCCCCATTGATGTAATACTCTCTTTTTTCCCCCGAGTGATGTAATACTCTATTCATCTTATAAAGTTCTAAAATGGTTATCAGATCACATTGCTGGTATTATTCTATATGATTTTCACCACTTTTAAAGAATTTCAAATTTATTTGATTCTTAAAATTTTAATCTTAAACCAAATTTCCTCTATCAAATGCTTTATAATCTTTTTAGTTAATTGCCACTAACATAATGTGTAAATCAACATGCGAATTAGGATTAAGGGTGCTCTTAAGTCGGTATATTCTGCATGCCACTTTTATCAAGTGGGAAGGCGGAGTCTCATCTATGCATGCAGTATTCTTTGAAATTGGGAGCTTTCAATACCCAGAATTATGAACCTAGGGCTTCCTCCAGAAGCTTGCGTCAAAAACCAGTTTCATCAATCTTTGAAACTTTTTCTTAAAACAAAAAAAGGCTTCATTAAACTTGTTAGAAGAAAAAAATTCTTGAGGCAAGAAAAGCGCTTCATCCAACTTGGAAGTTTCAAATCAAAATTTTTCTCATATAAAAACCAACTCACTCTAAATGTCTAATCTAAGTCTAAAAGGGCCGCTTTTCAAAATTTCCCCAAAGAAAAAAGGAACACGGGATCCGTATGCTTAAACTGTGCAACTGCCTTTCTCACTGAATCATGTCCTACCAGTAAGTTCCCCACCTAGCTTCATTCTCTTTGGAGCCGGAGCTTCCAACATCCCCCCAGACCTCCATTGTTTGGACATATCGTGTAGGAAGGGACAAGTGGTGCCATTTAGGCATCCCTTTGGTGTGTTGAAGAAAACGCAATGCTTCTGAAAATTCAGGCAGGCCTGGTTTTGTTTTAGGTTGTTAAACGATTCTGGTCCTTGCGTATTGCCATAAGGATTGATATTTTGTAAGATTTCTTGATCCACATATTCACGATTTTCTCCATGCTGCTTGATCAGAGATTTGTAGTAATTGATATCCTTGTGTAGAGGGGCAGGACTACTCATTGAGGAGAAAGAGGATGTGTGGCCAGTATTTGATGAATACGACTTTATTTGCAGCTCAGGCTGCATAGCAATAGGACATTTTGCCCTCGAGGAAACCAGTGAAGGAACTAACTCAGAATTGACGAAGGGCTTCCCTCCTATATTATCAGGTGCTCCATATTCATTAATCAGTTTCTTAATCTTTTCCAAATTTAGGTCTGAAGTTGGGTGAACTAATGGTTTACTCCC